CTATTTTATGTTATGTTCATTCTGGTTGTAATATTGTGTTTGTAAGTTTAAAGAATAGTCTTTTTAAAATGAAAATTTGTTGCTGTAAAACTAAAATTGTTTCCTGGTTAAGTTATTATACAAAAAAATGACAATTTTAGACTTTTTGGAAGACTCATAAATTTGACCATTTTTATCTTTGATATCATTTGGCAGAAAAAAAAAATGAACAAAAAGTTCAATCATGCCATTTTACGAAAATACATTGGTTTTTTTTTTGCAATTAAAGTGTTGTATAAATTTCCCTTTTTGTCATCTATTCTTTTAATTGCACCAGATCACACACCATTAAAAATGAAAAGAATACAACTTGCTTTAACAGAAAATGTCTGATAAGTATAATTATAGTATGACTATTAGTAGTTTATGGTCATACTTTAATTGCTTATGTGTGTCGAAATCAAAAGTAAACAATACTAATGCTAAAAGAAAACATGTGCCATTAACCAATGGACCATTTTTCCGAAGGAGAACCGGAAGCTACTAGCCTGCACTTTCGAGCAAACTTCCAAGAAATTTTCTTTCTCCTTTAGTCAACTAACTTTGGGTTTTCAATCATTAAACATAAAATGCAAATTATAAGTTTTAATGCATGAACTTTAAGAGGCTGAAGGGCGTGGAAGGAGATTGTTAAGGATGTGAAAACCTGCATAAGGCCAAGGGCAAATTAGTAATTTAAGACATAAAATGAGAAATGAGAAAAACCTTGAAATGGTAAATGGCAACTGAGATTTTTCTTTTTCTGCTTACCTAATCAAACCAAGCAAAATGACCACAATGGTCATTTTGACTAGCATTCCAAGTATGGACCTAAAGGGTAAAAATGACCAAAACGGTCGAATTGCGAAACTTCTTACCTGTAAATAAATGTTTCAAATGACAAAAATTTTGACTATTTTGATTAACGTGATGAAAATAACATGTCAATAATTGACTTAAATGGTCAAAATGACAAAACCAATCTCAAAGGGAAACTTTGTACCAATATTGTGAAGTTTAAATTGACCAAAAATTTGCCTTTTTATTAATCGGACTAAAATGAGCAAATTGTACATTTGGTCATATAATGGATCTTACTAGCAGGAGTATGGAATTTATGTTTACTATATATAATGGATCTTTGAGGTGCTTAATTCGAACTCAAAGCAGTTGATATGAGGTTTATTAAAGATCATATTCAATCAAAATCTAAAATCATCTATGAGCCTTTGACCACTAGGCACTAGAAGGAAAAAATAAAGATCCAATTCTACATAACCTACTAAGATCAATGTAAGACTCAACCTAAAACGAAAAACACAAAAATAATGAAAATTTTGAGAATCGTACCATGTAAGGGAATTTTTCTTGATATTGAGATACTGATCAATTGAATGAAGGGTTCCTCTTATCATCAAGACATTCTTCAATTCCATAGTCACATCTCTTCCCAACAAATAATTTTCACTTTTCTTGATCAACAGCCTTGATTTAACCTTTTGTATAGGATTCATCTTTTGTTGTAATGTGAGTAAACAAGAACACCAACCCTTTGCTAAATTGAACCCTAAAAACAAAACGATTGTAGATGAACAAACACAGACACGACGGTGGAATCAAACTGCAGACGAACCCACATACATGAAGGTTGATGCGTTGATTTGTGTACCAAGCATGATCTTCAGAATAACTTAAACAACAATTTCACTTACTTGATGTAGAAGAACACACAGACAAGACGGAGTGACCAAACGACGATGGAGGCATCGATGGTGGATAGTGTTATAGACGGACGGGAGCGTCGACCGGTGGATGCCTTCGTTGGAGGGGATAGCTGATGGTGGTGATGAAACAAATCACTGGTGGTGGGTTGTGCACCGGCAAGAGAGAATAGTAGTGAAATAGATAAAGTGATGGTGGCGAGAGACAAGAGCGACAGAGTAGAGAGATTGAGAGATTGAGTATTAGCGATCGTGTTGATTGGCAGACCAAAGACAATGCGGTGGAGTAGATCGATGAAGAAAGAAATGAAGGAGAAAGAGGGGTCATGAATTATTTGGGAGAGATCGAGAGGGAACTCCTGATGGCGGGTTAATTTGGAGGTTGAAAAACGAACCACAATTGTAGATAGCGGGTCTTTGAAATTTTTTGGGTTAGGAAAAAATATTTTGGGGAAAACGAAAATTCAAAGGGAAGGGGGAGGGATATAATATATATATAGATATATATATATATATATATATATATATATATATATATCTATATATATATATTATATATATATACTATCTTTAAATTTTGATTTACTAATTTTGAATTTAGGATGAAAATTTATAGTTTTTAAAATATTTTTGTGTTTATATGTGTCATATACGAGTGGTGTGTCATGAAAATTATACTTGTGTTATATGTGTTTAGATGGGTAAATTCATGTCTTACTCGTGTAAGGCACACAACATGAATTTGAAATACGTGTCGACACAAACAACACATGATTTATAGGCATGGTTGTAGAACTCGTTACTCGGTACCTATTCGGCCGACTACCGAGTAGCGAGTACCCGGGAGTACTCGGGAGTACTCCGATTCGGTAATTCACTAATTTATGTAAAAATATTTTTAGGGAAACTATATATGTCAAAATCATAAGTTAAAATCATAAACTGATTGAAATATATAACAAAATTAGATACATGTGAATAAAAAAACATATAATGGTCTCATTCGTGAATAATTACTGAAAATTTAATATATATATATATATGTAGTAATAATCACATGTGTGTTTTAAATAATAAATCATTAACTATATTATACATATTAATCACCGAGTTGACCGTGTTTTACAACACTACTCAGTTCAATAAGGGGCCGATCGGGGAGTACTTGAGATTCTGTAACTCGCCTCGGCAAGGGGCCGAGTAGCGAGTACTCGGAGGAGTAATCGTCCAACTCAGCGAGTTTTACAAGACTGTTTACAGGTTATCCTTATAATTAAGGCTTATGGGTTATATCATTGGGCTCATGCCTTGTGGATTAGGGATTAGGATGTAGGATTTGGAGCTTAGGGCTTAAGGCTTATGCTTGTGGCTTCTAACTTATGGCTAAAGGCTTAAGGCTTATAAATCATGGTTTAATGTGTATAGCTTGGGGCTTTTGGCTTATGACATGTGGCTTGTGGTTTAAGGATACCACTTATGGCTTATGGTTTAGGTCTTACGAATTAACGAATATACCTCACAACTTATGGCTTATAGCTTATATCTTATGTCTTGTAGATTAAGGCTAAAGTCTTGTGACTTGGCTTATGGCTTATGGCTTATGGATTATGGATTATAACTTGATGCTTAAGGCTTATGACTTAGGGCTTAGAGTGTATGGATTTACGCTTAAGGCTTAGAGTACGTCTTTAGGCTTCAGGCTTAGGGCTTGTGGCTTATAACTTATTATGGGTTATCGCTTAGGATTTAAGACTTAGGGATTATGGCTTATGACTTATGGATTAGGTCTTATTTATTATGACATAATTAAGGCTTAAAGGCTTATGGTTTGAGGTTTATGCATAGGGCTTTAGGCCTTATGGCTTACGGCTTATGAGTTATGAATTATGACTTATAGCTTATGGTTAGCTTAGGGCTTAGTCCTTAGGCCTTATGGCTTAAGGCGTATAGCTTTGGGATTCTGCTTTATGCCTCATGGCTTATGACTTATGACTTATGACTTATGATTTATTTCTTAGGGATTATGGCTTCAGGTTTAAGGTTTAAGGTTTAGGGCATGTGACTTATGCCTTATCTTCAGATTCATGCTTAAGGCTTATGGCTTTGGCTTAGATATTAAGGATTATAACTTAGGGAATATAACTTATAGCTTAAAGTTTAACGCTTAACGCTTATGCCTTAGGGCTTAAGACTCATTCTTACAAGCCTACGATGGCGCCCACCCTACCTCCAACTCACCTCCACCTTTATACGACAAACCCACACACCCTGCCCCAACACCAACCACCTAGTACCCTCCCGATGTCCATACTCTCGCCCACACCAACATGCTTACCCCAACCCTTATCCTGCATTTATCCTACCTATACCCTCACCTCCATACCTAGCTACACCTATACCCGAAGCACATAACTATACTTTAATTACCGCAAGCCCACACCGATGTTGATGCTTAGTTCACCCTTCTCCACCGACCCACACTCTATACCCCCATAACAACCCCTACCACCGTCCACATACATATACCTATACAACCATACCCACACTCATATACATATCCATATCCCGAGCTACTTTTACACCAACCCCTACACTCACACCCACACCTACACCCATATGTATTACTCTATTATTATTGTGTAACTTTTAGTGTCGTATTCACCCAATAACCCACCCACCCACTCCATGTCCATACATATACCCTACACTACCTCACCCCTACACCGCCCAGATTAATATATTGATTTAAGAGTAATTCATGGTTTATCATCATTAATCGAATTTCAAAAAAATTAAAAAGGTAAGAAGATTATTATTAAATTAATTTTTCCTATTTTTTTGAACTTGTTGAAACCTAAAATATTTTACTAGGATAATTTTTATCTTTATTTTTAAAATTTTCAAAATTTTCAAAATTTTGAAAATTTTCAAAAATTTTGAACTTTTTTATACAATTACAATTACTCATTTAGACTTCCGTTCGCCCCCCCCCCCCTTGATTTGCCTTAAAAAAACCGTTCCCGGCTCTCTCAAAATCCCTGCTCGCTCCCTTTATCTCTCAAAATTCTGAACATATGTCTCCACTTTCGTTAATATGCTCTGCTCTCTTCTCGCTTAATAATCCCTATTTGGTGGTGTTGGTAACCTGGTTTCGAGTTTTCAGATGATGAATATGTATCATTCGGCGCTTTGGAGGAAGAAACAAGCGGATATGATGCACTCCACAAATTCGATTCAGGTTCGATATTATTCAATCCTTTCATGCTTTTGTTCAATTTCATTTTGGCTGCTCTCGGTCACTTCCTCTTTCCCCTGATTTTAGTTGAGTCTCCGACCGAGGAGGGTTAGTAGTATGTTGTTCTTCAATTAGTCTGCAAGACTGCAACCCCATTGATTTCTATGGTAAGATAATAATCTTCCTACTTGTAATTTGATTTCAATTTCAGAGAATCTTCATATTGCACGGTATGGCCGCCTTGGCCAAATTCACAATGCCTGCCAAGTATTCGATGGTTTACGGGAAAAAAACATCGTGTCTTGGAACTCCATGGTTGCATGTTATTTCCAAAACAACCAACCCAATGAAGCCCGAAATCTGTTCGAACAAATGCCTGAAAGAAGCACTATGTCTTGGAACGGTTTGATTTATGGCTATGTGAAGAACATGATGGTAAAGGAAGCCCGAGAAGTGTTCGACAAAATGCCTTACAGAAACGTTATTTCCTGGACTGCTATGATTAGAGGATATATACAAGAAGGTCTGGTTTCTGAAGCAGAAACACTTTTCGTGAAGATGCCCGACAGGAACGTCGTGTCTTACACAGTGATGTTCGGTGGCCTCATTCAAGATAATCAAATCGACAAAGCTTGTGGGGCAGAATATTGTTCAGAGCTTTTCTGTGAGGCATAATAATACCAGCTTCTTGTAAGTTGTTCATTCTTTCCTCTTTGAAATGGCATTTTGGTTATATTGTTTTCAACTTTCCCTTTACAAAGTTGACTGAATATTGTTCAGTCAACTTGGACTTAGTTTTATTTTATGCTTTTTTCATTTAAATGTTTCCGTTTGATCAGATTGTCATGTATAGTCAACAGTAGTGCTTAAAATGTGTTTGTTCTTTTGACATAGATTCATAACAACAATAAAGTATCTAAAACTTAAAGTTAAACTTTGCGATTAACAGGCAAAAGAAGCAACTCAAATAGCTTTGAAGGATGAAATACAGTTGATGGTGAGTTAGTTCATTACTTATTCTTATTTGTAGATGGAAGATGCAAAAAAAATTCATGTCTATAGTTTCTATGGAGTTTGTAATCCACAACTTTCAACCACAGGAGATTGAATTTCCAACTGTTGGGCTAGAATCTATGCCAGGTTTTTTCTTATTCAATGACGGGAAGTATGCAAATGGTTCGTGAATTTTTTGATCTCCTTGTAGTTCTAGAAAAGGCTACAAAAACCAGAATAGTATGTAAATAAACAACCTATGTAATTCTAATATCTATTTTCACCATGTTATATATATGATAGTTTTCGTCAATTATTTCACCTTCCACTTTCACTCCCCAAAAAAACTACAATGAAGTCCGAAGAACTTGAATACTCCAACCCATGCGGAGCATGGGGAAACTTTTCTAGTTCACATGAAGATTCAAGATTAAGAATCATTCATCGTGATCTGAAGGTTAGCAAAATTTTGCTGGATTTTGATATGAACCCCTAAGATTTCTGATTTTGGTCTATTGAGGATTGTTGGAGTGGATCAAACTGAAGTAAACACCAATCGAATTGTCGGAACATAGTTAGTTTTTAACTCCCTTGTTTCTACTATGATTAAGAATCATACATTAATGGTTTTTTTTCCTTTGTAAACTACTCTATTATGTCTTTTATTTATTCAATTTTGTTTCAATGTTGTTGGTATAGGTATCAAATATAAAATCACCTCAAGACAACTTCAAAACTCAAAGAAGCACAAGGAAACTTTTATATCGAGCAATAGCCTTCTCATGAAGACAAGGACCAATACCAACAAGATGAATGCCTAGTTATGTCTAGTTTTTGGTTTATGATGTTTTTTGCTTTATTTATCATATTTTAATACTTGCAAATAGTATAATTTTCATTTTTTTTTGGTATTTTAATTACGAATTTAATGTATGGATTTGGATTTCAATTATTAATAATATCCAATTCTGAATTTTGATATTGTTTCATATTGTCGGTTTTGGTTACTTTCATTTATATATATTATTTTTGATGTATCTACAATATAGAAAAAGTAACAATAAAAATTAAATTATTGTGGCTTTAATATAATTTTGGCCATGTTTTATAGGTTTTCAATGTCTCTAAAATTATACAATGGTTACTATACATCATTTTTTAACGTGTGGCTAAATGGTTAACAATAGCCATAATATACAAGAATTATGAGTGTACAGTTGTTTTAAGATGATGTTTTTTCTAAAAATTTTGTGACTAAGTTAAACAATAACAACATGAAAACAATTTATGTGGCAAATAAATATCATAATTGATTGTTGTTGAGACTAAATACTAGCAAATCGTCACTTACATCATTAATTATATGTGTCCATTTACCGAACATGGACATGTTCACCGTAATTATATGTGTCTAAAATATACCCAATAGTCTTAATACGATACCGAATAGTCCTTAATTTTAACAAAATGTGTGTCTTTATAATACAGTACTTATGATTGTATTTCACTTAATTGTGTGTCTCTATACGATAGGTTATAGTCACAAAAATTGATTGTTTTTTGTGACTAATAATTAGCAATTCGCCACTTATGGAAGTAATTACATGTGGCCATTTAGCATACATGGTCACACTCACCGTAATTACATGTTTACAAAAGATACACAATAGTCTTAATAAAATTTAAACTGTGTGACAATATAAAAAAAACAACTACACTAAAACATCATGAATGTCGCAAGTTGGTGATATACAGTCACCACATTTACTAAATAAATGTGACTACTGACGGTTTAACGCTACAATATTAGATATTTAAGGAACAAAATTCCGTACACATTTGCCACACTTTTATAATACGGCCACATGTTTTCATATCATACGGACACTACATTTTAAAGTGACCATACGACCCATACGATGGCGTCACCTTCCGTCACACTTTCAGTGAAAAAATAAAATGTCACTATATGAATATGGTCACATTTTTTTGGTGTGATTGTAAGACATTTTTCTTGTAGTGATACTGTCAATAAATAAATAAAAACCGCATAATAAACGCATGATAAACATTTATGTGCGAGCAACCACATAACACAAAAAAATTCACATTGCAACCGAGAAGTCCTAACCGAAACTTTATTGTTAATCTTCACCCTACATTCCACAAACAAATTTTATAAGACAGCCGTCCGAAAACATCCTACGTGTCTGTTTTGGTTCTACCATCCAAATGTCTTGTTCGGTCAACCAAAATTTATTATCCAGTTTTATCATTCAAGAGATTTGTATAAATTTTGAACCAAATATTATATTTCATCATTATCGAATTAAGAAAGCCTCCTACTTTAAATTAATACTCCATGTAACCATACCATATATATATAAAAAAATATTTATATAAATTTATTAACCCTTTGAAAACAGTTTGGCAAATTTAATATCTGAAGGTTATATTATTGTTATGACACCAAATACATAAAATAATAATAATAATAATAATAATAATAATAATAATAATAATAATACGCATAGACTAAACCAATAACTTTAAGTTTCAATTCAAAGGAAATACACTGAACAAAATGTGCATGTATAGTTTCACTTCAAAAATTAAAATGTTATTAGACTACAAGGAATGAATATGTATTTTCCTTTTTAAAGAATATATACGGATGATGCCTACTAGTAGGATTTGACCATCCAAAACGAACCACTAATGTGCTAACGAATAAACTACCAAATGTTTTATTATTATATTTGCATTTCCCAAACTTTAACATGGGTCGACTTTTAACCCGTTCAACAAAAAACCCCAAGATGTTGTCTTCCTAACCCGATATCTTTTTTTTCCTGCCATTACTAAGTTGCTGGAACTTTACATGTTATCCAAAATAATTCCGTATAATCATATAAAATCATTATTAACTTTCTCCACCTTCTACTGAAATATAACCATAATTTTTTTTTCCAAAAAAGTAACAACCCAAATCAAAATATATTAGAGCTATCTATAACGAAAATTTTATCATTTTAAAATTCCATCTATTAGATCATGATTGGCCCGAACTAAGACATTAGGTATAACTAAAATATGTAAAACCGGATTATAAACTTACTCAAGCAACCAATTCGAGCTTAAATTAGAGAGACATACCTTAATTTCTAAGAACTAACTCCAAAACTTTTAAGGACTTCTAGCTTCGATTTCTCCTTCGATTCTCAACCTTTTCTCGCAATTCCAGTGGGGTTTTCATAGGGTTTTTCGAGCTTTATATAATGCCTACCATTGTAACTGTTAAAAACTTATGATTTTCTCGAATTTACTCCTCCATTGAAGGTGACGGGTTTTAGGATTAAACCTCATTATTTTGCCTAATTAAAACTAATTACACCTAATTTTATTGCTAGAAAAACTGATATATTAATTAATTATAATATATATCATTTTTTTATGTGAGTTATCACAAACTTTCCCCGTTCTAAAAATTCCGTCCTCGGAATTTGAATTAAACAACCAAATAAGGGTATTTGATCTTCTTTTCTCACACGTTTCCACATGTCGCATCTGACCCTTTATGTTACTTTCATTGAGCTTTCATGAGTTGAATCTCCATATTCTCTAGCTTGTTGACCAGATAATCCATTTCTCGTTGTAAACTCTTCCAAAATGATGACATGAAACTAAGGTTCTGATCATAAATAGACAAGCGAACGATCTCATTAATAACTTTTCCCACAAGTATGTTTTACCCAATGACACAATTTAAGGGAACATTTTAGATATCCAGAGAACGAACCAATGGTCCACTCCCCTTCCCACTTGGCACAACACATCTATTATGCTCAAGCATTTAAATATCCAAGTAAATGAGTAACATCTCAAATCCAATCCCCGTCGGTCACAACACACTGGTTATGTTCCTGACTATCATTCACCCATGTTCCCATTAAATGTGTCATCATACACCAGTTAAACAAGTCCAAAAACTTTCCACTTATCCTCTACCATAAATTCTTTCTGACTATTCTTCGGTCCACCTAGTAAACTAACTGTTACATCAATTCTCATCATTTTGAATCTTACTTAATTCCTTCCTTAAGTTATGACTTAGAGCATAAGTGACAATGTTATCGTTCCCTAGGTGACATAATACCTCATATTCACAGTCTCTTAGAATATCCACTCATCTTGTTGCCTCATGTTCAATCATATCTGATCAAACATGAATAATTGACACTCTTGTAGTCAGTAAAGATCTTACGCCTTCTTTGACTCTTGGTAATCTATGCATATTTACATCGTCCCATCGTTCTTCATGACGAACAACACCGATACATCCCACGGTGATGTATTGTGTCAAATAAAACCTTACAGGTCCTGCAACTACTAAACAAATTCTTTCATCCTTGTTGGTGCTAACCAATAGGATTCTCGAGAACTCCCTTACAACTGGTATACGTGTAATATCATGTTCCCTTATGTGCCACCTACACTTGAATAGTTTCCTTCTTATAATCTATTTAACTTGGTTTTCGACAACCAATCTGTTCGTATCTTGATATCAATATCTCATAGTGATACGGGTGCTAGTATTAATGGTGCTAAACAACTGTCTATTTAAATCAAGCAATCATCAAATTCTGTTCTTATGACTAAATAATGATCATCATCAGTCTTTATTTCTAAAATCTTTTGCACCCATATTTAGGCACTTACAAAAAGAAATGAAAAAAAAATCTTTGCATCCACATCCAATAGCACCCATAATGTAGTGGTACTAAGAAAGTATATGCCACTATATCGGGGTATCCTGAGCTTCCTGAATTGTCATATGGAAAACTCTTCCTTTTGTTCTTTTCGTTTCTGCCTTTTCATCCCCCGACCGATTTCCTTTCTCTGTCATCATGCGTTGGTTATTATTACCCTTATTCTGAGGACAGTTTGACCTGACGTGATCTGGGGACCCGCACCCATAACATACTTTCCCTACTTTACAATTTGAAGCGATATGTCCTATCTTCCCTCATTTGTATCATGTTCTTTGGTTCATATTACACTCCCCTTTATGGAATCGTTTGCATATAGTACATTGTTCTATCCCAGATTGTTACTCATAGTTACGATCCTAACTAGAAGTCTTGCTTTTCTTTGGGTCTGTATTTGAACTTTCCAACTTTCTTTTCCTGAATCCTTATTCTCACCCTGGCGATTCTTTTCCCGCTCTCGGCCTTCCGCGGCGTCTACAACAGACTGGAATGTACCTGGTTTATGAATTTCTACAAATTCACGAATGGCGGTTTTTAGTCCCCAAATATATCTCTCCACCCTCCTTTCTTCCGTAGACACATAAAATTCGGCAAACCTAGCTTTCTCTGTGAACTTAGTGGTGTACTCTCTCACAATCATATTCCCCTGTTCCAACCTCAAGAATTCTTCCTCCAACTGTTTAACCGCCGTTCGAGGGCAAAACTTTTCTTTAAAGATTCATAGAAATTCATCCCACGACATCTTCTTGGCCGCCTCACTCCCCCTAACTTCCTTCACCATGCCCCACCAATGTATTGCCTCCCCTTTTAACATTGTCGCAGCATAAATCACCTTGTCCTCATCCGCACATTTGATAGTATCAAATGTTCCCTCAATCTCCATGATCCATGTTGATGACAAAACGGGATCAATTTCTCCATTAAATACGGGTGGCTTACAATTCATGAACGTCTTATAACTACAACCCTCCGATCATGGTTGTCATTATGACTTGAGGGTTATGGAATGCTTGGGTCAAGATTTGTATTTGGTGTACTATATTCATAGTCTTCTTCACCTCCGCCCAAGTTACCTTGGTATTCACTTATTATTGCATCTTGTGCCCGAGCAACTATATTTGATAAGGTAGCGTGTATCGCCCGGGCAATCTCATCAGCCAACTCTTCT